GAAATAGGGGGTTGGATCTGGCGGTGGTTTAGCTTCTGCCAGTCTATGCGGCGGAAGAAGACATGGCTCTGGATGTCAGCCGGACCACTCTCCCCACTGCCCAGCCGTCGCCCTGGACTCCTCATCAAAAACTGAAAGCAGAAAAAAAGCAATAGATTTCCGTTTCTGAGCAAACGTTTCAACAAATTGCCGTCAGCCAGAACCTCTTCGTTGAAAAAAAATTTAGAAAAAATGAAACTGGATATTTTCTTACCAATAAAATGACTTGCGAAACAAAAATTTATGTTTAATTGAAGCTACAGCTTTTTCAAACCACACCAAATTCATCAATTTTTTTATAATTATTTTTCAAAATGTTTCATTGTCCAGGTTATGACCGCGATTGAATTGACACCAAAACAGTACTCGAAATGAGTTCGTTTTATGGCTTTGGACGCAATGACTAAGACTTGAAAAACTCTGTTGGAGTTATTTTACGAGCTTTTTCGTTAAATGCCATACTTCAGACTAAATATTCAAATATTTTTAAAAAGTAAAAAAAGATAAGAATTACCGGTTGATGCTTTGTTAATAAGGTTACTAGCTTTATCTATTTCAGATCAGATGCTTTGATAACTTTGAAGGTCAGACTGCTCAACAAGGTCAATCATACATCAAGAATCTTTTAAATGAAATTGTTGTATCAACACAAACAGTTCTGGTACCCCTTTGATGAGTTGTGAGGCCTCGTTGGTGATGTTTTTGGGGAAGGAGATGGGCTGGTGCTGGATGGAGTAGCTCAACTCCTCCTCGTCCTCCCCCTCGAAGGGAGTCACCCCCACCAACATCTCATACGCCATCACCCCCATCGCCCACCAGTCCACCAGGCGTCCGTAGCTGTCGCGTCTCACTATCTGTTATTAAAGATCAGTTTCAGTTTTTGAGTTTTATTTAGAAAACAAAAATTTTATCTTCCGGTTCTCTGGAGAAATGTAGGAACTGTTGAATTGAATTTGAATTTTTGATGAAGACAAACATTTGAAATGCATATTCATATATCAGTTAAATTACAACAGTAATTCCTACATCAGGAATGCCTAGAAGCATTCCTCCAGGTCACCTAGGATATAGTGAACGGCACTGAAAACGAAATTTACTGATAGCAAAACAGAGAAACCATTCTTCCCCGGTCGCAAAGATTCAGCTTGCAAAAATTTTTAAAACGACTTGAAGTCAACTTCAGTCATAGAAAAAGGCTTTTGGGAATCAAAATGCTATCGACCAAAAATTGTACACTTTAATTTCTTTCACTGAAACTTTTTCATTTTGGCTTTAACAGCAAATGAAATTAGCTACACTCTCATTTTTGCGCAAAATCATTAGAAAAAAACGTATGATTTTATCAGAACTACATATGCAGAATTAAATCGTAAAAGGTGTAGGATTTGGTGGTTGATTTTTTCACGCACAGCCAAGCAACCGAACAAAACGATACCTGGTTTTAAATGAGATATCATAATCGAGATTCGGCATGATCAAATTTTATTTAAATCAAAACAAGGATAGCCGGTTACAGAATGTTCCGTCCATAGTCTTAAAAACAAACCTTTTATATTGTTTCGTATTTTCTGCTTGGTGTGATCAAAGGGGCAGAACAAAATTCTACAGCTTCGGCATATTCGACAGTCATTGTAAACTGGACAACAATTTTTGAAGAAAACAATTAATACAAAAAAGCGTATTGAACAATTTAAAAAATCAAAAATCAAAATGGCGTTTAAAAAACTCCAAATAGGCATGCTCGCTCGCTTTACTCGCTCAAAACTAGTCAAGCAATCAAAAATTTCTTCGCGACACGGGGAGATTTTTTGGAAACATATTTATATCGTTCATATCACAAGTGAATGGGCTTTAATGTTATAATTAATCGACCCTTTCCGATGCTCATTTGCGGTACCTGATTCTGCATGGAAAACAGACAAAGTGAGTCAGAAAAGAAAAAATAAAACACATCCGATTACAAAGTTCTCCCCCATTTTCAATGGTTGGAACAACAATACGGCTCTCACATATAAAAGCAAAATTTATTTTTGATCAAAATGTTTTTGTTTTTAAAATGAGTTATAATGAGAATAATTAGTAAAATAATTCTAAATTTTTACTTTTTTAGACACTTTTTTCAAGTTCTGCAAAAAAAAACTCAAACAAATTTTTTTTGCGCTCGATTAAACAAAATAAGGAGCAAATTGCCTGTGTTCAATTTCTAAAGATCGTTTTTGCGGCTTACAATTTAATAGAGTTAACGGTATCGCAGGGTTATTATCGAATTTTAAATTATAATTGTTCAAGTGATTTCAAAATCAGAGCCTTGTAATTTTGCGATGCAATATATCCTCACATTCGAGCTCCAGTCAGCAACATTTTTAAGATGTTAGAAAAAAAAGTTAGTCAAAGAATTTTTTCGCAAAAAATACCAAAAGTTGGCTGATTAAGAAAACCACACCATCATAAATATTCCGCATTTTCCTCGAAAATCTGAACAACCATAGCGCCGCTTGCTGTTCAAGAAATATAAATGTTTTGATCATGGTATTCTTAGCTAATGAACAGAAAACGTTCAAAAATAGGCTTTTTCAGTTTGTTCTCATTTTTTGCCATTTTCTTAGATTAAAAAAAAGTTGAACGATATTGCGTTAAAAATTGGGTTAATCATAACTTTGATAATTTAATGGAATAAATTATGGAATTATTGTTTTTCATCTCCCTGTGGAGAGAAGTAGGAGAAGCAAAAATATACAGTCTAATTTTTCTGGACACTGTCAATTTCTTTCAGTTTTTTGAATGGGAATCACGTCTGTAAAAGTTTTTATTGGTAACTTTTGGCTTTACCTGAAAAATTCAACGGCACTTACAAAAATTTTTGAAAAATAATGTAGATTTATCAAACCGATTAAAGATGAAACTATTTGCTCGCTAAAATGCATTTCAACTTAATATATATTGTTTAATTGTAGATATTTTTTCGGCAAAAAATCCACCTGAATCAATTCGGATACACTTAAAATTGGTTTGATTTAGTTTTAGGGACCGATCGTTAAAACATTTCAATGAACTGTGATGTGGCTACACAATTTCTTTTTAAAAGCAATCAAACTCTCGCCGGAAAGAGAACTGTTGCTATGTGGGCGAAGCCTTGAATAATTTGAATGCGCTTCAAGTTTTATGGAAGAGTGTTTAATCAGATGACAATATCGTATCAAAGTTGAAAAACAAAAATTGTAAAGTATTCAATCCACATAGTATTTTATAGACAAAATGATACTTTTAGTAATATATTAACGCATTGAGTGGAGCAAAATTTTTCGTATCAGATTGAAGCCTTGAGTTTGCAGATTATCTGTTAAGGTATTTGGAGCTGTGATTGCTGACAAAAAAACTGATGAAATTTTAGAAAAAAAAAAACGTGAAAAAATTTTCAAAAAGTTTTTGTACCCCTGCACAGTATATATAAAAAAAACCTGGATGTACTTTATAGTAATGTGGCAAATATGACAAATAGCCTGCTTTAACTAATTTGGTACAATTACTAAGACGGATTATATCTCCGCCTACTCCTCAATATCAAGAAATATAATGTTACTTGTCCCAAATAGGCCATCTGGCAGTTTTCAAACCCATAAGATACAGAAAGAAAATCACAGGTAAAATAATTTCTAAATTTGAGCTCAGGACATTGATAATTTTTGGATTAATTACAAAAAAAAAATCGTCAAAACTGGCTAGTTTAGAAAAAAATTGTCGGGAATAAAACATCCGAGCACTGACATCTTAACAAATTATGTCTACTTAACAACCTATGTCTACTTTACAAGCTCCAAGTTCTTAAAATATTAAAAGGAGACCTTGTTTAGTTGATCCGTTAAAAACTTTTCCTAGTTAAAAAACTGACCCCGAGCACAAAATTTGAGCCACATTCTTCAAAAGTTGGGTAAATATGCAACATTTAAATCTTGGATTGTCTTTTGACGCATTCAAAGGATTTTTATTTGTACTTGACTGCTCGTTTATCAAGGCAAAGACGTGAAAACTCCGACTGTCCTTTAAAAAGTTTTGACCGAAAAAGTGCCGAAATAATTGATTTTTTCCTTTCATTTTTTTCTTCGTTTCATCTCCGTACACGCTAATGCAACATACACAGGGTCTTATTTGGCGTCTTGCAATCCTATAAACAAGACCACTGAACTTGCTAAGTTCACTTTTGAGCGCATTAATTGGCCGTTCACGCGTGTTACAAGAACGCATTAATTGGTGCGTTTATACTACCAAATTGGCCAAAAGTCATTTTCAAGCCCCCAAAACTCAACAAATGAAAATTTCAGGTGAAATGTCTGTCAAATGTGAGCTGCATGTAACAATATTTTCGGATATTATAAAAAAAATTTGTCATAACTGTTCGTGCATCATTTCGCTCATGCATCATGTCATGTCGAAGCCCTGAATGTTCCAACAGCACTTCAAAACCAATTTAAAGCTTTTTGGTTAAATTTTTGGCGAAAGGAAAGAAAAAAATTAGACGTGCTTATTAAAATAAAAAGGGTGCATTTAACGTCTCGCAATGTTTTAATGGAACTTAAATTCTGGCCTCAATTCGATTTGGAGCGCAAATGTTTTCCGCCTACCCGTATTAAAAGAATGCAACTTATCGCGCGTTAGTTATCCTAAATTTTCGCTCAGGGCAGCAATATCTTTCAGATGGTATACAAAAACTGCTTCAAAAACGTACAAAAATTGAAAATGATTGAATAAAAAACCACCCCAAGCATAAATATTCCGCATTTTTATGCCTAAAATCGGAACAAAAAATCACGCCAAACATAAATATTCCGCACTTTCTTCGAAAGTCGGAATAATTTAGCTCAAGTTAAAATCCTATCAAAACTTTCTGCGCATTTACTTAATTTGAACTAAATTACTCAAACTGACGGTACTCGATTCTAATGGACTGAAAATTTCAATGCCAGTATTAAAAAGAAAAGTCATTGGGAATAAAGTCTATAACGGGAATTTGTAAAAGAGATTTAATTTAAAAGCAAGAGTGCTGGTATTATTAGATTAATTTGGCAAAAGTGCTGGTATTAGAGTGAAGTTCGGAACTTTTCAGCGGTCATTTAAGTTACCCGAAGTAGTCATAGATTGAAAAAATTTATCTTGTACCGCCGGGTCGAAATTAGACCTCATTTTGGTGGAGGGTACTGAATGACCCCAATTTTCAGCAAAAAAAGTTGAATGAGCCATTCTAAGTTTTAGCAAAAATTAATTGGCTTTAGGTTTAATTATTCCTCCCCGTTTTATCAGTATGGGGTCTGAATTTTCAAAATGGGGCTGTATGAGCCCACTTTTCAAACACTAGAAGCCGGATAAACCCCCTTTTGTTTGAAAAGGTGAACGAGTTTAATTTGTTAGTAAATTGGGCCCAATTAGTTTCCTAATGCGTGTTTAAATAAAGCAAATAAACAGTAAATCTAAGAGTTGGCACAGTGGACTTGGATACTCGGTTGAAGGGTTTAGCAGTTAGTTTCTGTTCCCTATTCGCCATAGAAGGAGATAAATGAGCCCAATTTACTAAAATTTGGGCTCCTAATTGGGCTCCATTGGGTCAATTTTTTCCCTATTTATTTGGGGACCAATTGCACCAAAATTTAGGCTCATTCAGCTTCTTTTCATAGAAAAATATTGCCAAAAGTTACGATCTGGGCGAGATGCTAGGTAAAGTGAAGGACGCGTATTAGATCGCTCTCAATAAAGCGTTGTTTGGGCTCTTTTCGAGCCCCCCTTTCAAATTCAATTTTGAAGAGCTTATTTAACGTTTTAATAATGCAATGAAATTTGGCGTGGTGAACAAATCGACAACTGT